TGTTCCTACCCCAGGTCTTACTCACTCCACAGATGTGGGCAAGTTACCTCACTGCTCTGGGCCACGGTGTCCTGGCTTTGCTGGTCTTCAGCTGTACGACCCGGGGAATCCCTCACCCTCTTTGTGCCTCTGTGTTCTCATCTGTAACATGGGGATGTGAGAGTGCCCGCTTCATAAAACAGTTGTGAGAATAAGAGAGTTAAGACATGTCATACACTCTCCCTACTGTCCAACACTCAACAATCACATCCTTTCAGAAAATATTAATCGGGGAACCCTTTGGGGCTAGGTGACATACTGGGTCCTAGAAAACCAGGGGTGACCAACACAGACGCAGCCTCTGGAATGAGCGTTCCCCCTGCTGTGGCCACTCTCCTCCCCCAGGACTTGGTTGGTTATAGAAATTCCACGTCAACTTCATCTTTCATTTCCTTAATGGCTCGGTGAGCTGTTGTTTGAATTAACTTATTTTTTTCTTTGTGAATGTCCACTCTTTTCTTCCTCTGAGCCATCACGATTATGAGTCATCGTCTGAGTCCCACGCTTAGAAAGAGCCGTCCTGGAAGCTCTGGAGGGTTTTACCAGGCTATTTATTGTGACCGAGATGCAAATGCGCCCGCAGCACACACAGGGGGAAAAGCCACCTCAGCAGCACGCGCAGAACGTAAATGCAGATGGAAGCGGTGGGAGAAAGTGTCATTTTTAGTAAGTAGAGCAGATACTCCACTTTGCTGAAAATCTGAAATGCCAGAAAATTCTCCTGATTTTCTGTGTTACTGAAGGAAATTTAAAGTTGACCTGTTTCTTCTTGAGGATCCCAGGATGACATTATATTCAATGTGAAAAGATAAAATAGCCAATAAAATCTAGAAAGGGATTGTGGGGAAGAACAGAGCTTTACCCAATTCTATCAGCTCCTGTCACCTGCAAAGCAGGTCCTCTCTCGGCGCTGGCAAATTTCTCTTGTCTCCGGGTCTGTTTCATTCCAAAAAGATCTTTTCCACGAGGTGAAGATACATTGCTCTGTGAACAACTTGCAGATAGACCCTAAGAAATAGGAAGCCTGAGCTCCCCAGATCTGCTCAAGTATGAAGAGACATTGCCTAGTCCCGAGGTGCTGACATCAGGGGGCAAAAAGTCTCCTTCCCCACTCCTGGTGTCACCTTCCCCGTGGAGGACACCCCAAGGGTATCATACTCCCAGCACCAACCTGCACGCTTCACTCTGCACCCGAGCCAACTCGGGATGTCCCACAGTGACCGGGGAGTGCGCAGAGACACTGGACGTGCCAAAGCCGGTCTCCCCTCCCCCTCCCGGTGTGCATGCCGAGAGTGAGTGTGCCCCCTGCTCCTCCACACTGTGAGTCTGCGACCTGGTATGTCTGTCTGTTTCGGGGTTCAGTGTCAGGAAACCGACCCGCCTGCTGATAGTTAGTCACAGTCTCCAATCTAACTCTTAGCGATAATAAAGGTGCTAGTCTGGCATTCTCCCATTTCTCAATGGGTACAGTCTTTAAAGAATAGGGGCTTGCACCCTGGCTGATGTAGCTCAGTGGTTTGAGCGTGGGCTGCGAACCAAAGTGTTGCAGGTTCGATTCCCAGTCAGGGTACATGCCTGGGTTGCAGGCCATGACCCCCAGCAACTGTACATTGATGTTTCTGTCTCTCTCTCTCTCTATCTTCCTCCCTTCCCTCTCTAAAAATAAATAAATAAAATCTTAAAAAAAAAAGAATAGGGGCTTGCATCTTAGTCAGTTCAGGCTGCTCTAATAGAATACCATAGATTAGATGGCTTACAAACAGGGATTTATTTCTCACAGCTCTGGAGGCTGGAAGTCCAAGGTGTTGGCAGATTAGGTGTCTGGGGAGAGCCCACTTCTGGTTCACAGATGGCCGCCTTTTCCTTATATCCTCACATGAGAGGGAGCAGGGACAGACCATAGGTTTCTCCTTCTTTCTGGAAGGGCGCTGGTCCCCTTCCCGAGGGCTCCACTCTCACGAGCTGCTCCCCTCCCTCCCAGAGGCCTCGCATCCAAATACCATCACACTGGGTTTAGCCTTCAACAGAGGGACTCAAGGGAGGGACACAAACATCAGTCCCTCGCAGCTAGTGACAGGCGGAGTATCCCGGGTGGTCTTCAGAGCAACGTCATCTTTCCCGGGGTCAGACACAACCCTCAAAACCAAGGCTGAAGACTGGGAGCAAATCACACCCGGGCTGAGCAGAGCTGAGCCTGGGGTCAGGACAGGAGTCAAGACTGCTCTCTCCCTCCAGGCCCCAACCTGACATTCACAAGCCCTTCAGCCCGTGCTGCCCTTGAGAGATAAGAGGGAGAGGATAGAGCTGACCGGGCTGGCGATACAACCTGGCGTCTGTCAGTGCTACCAACCAGAACTGCTGGTCAGAGCTCTGGGTGACTTCAGGGGACGATGGACTTGGTGAGGTGGCGACGGGGACCTGGGCAGCTTTCTCTCCCTCTCTCTCTCTGCCCCAACCATTATTTATTGCAAAGCAAAGGGACTCAGCCGGGCTTTTTCTCGTGGTTCCTGGTAGACTTCCTGGAGTAGACCCCTGGAGGTGTGCGCAGGAGAATGTGCTTCAGGACTCGCATACAAATTTCAGAAAGTGCTGGGGACTCTGGGGTTCACGTCCATGACTGAAGGCCTCTTTTCCTGCATTGCTCTGGTTTGCTGTCTGGCTGAGGGCAGGAGCAGCTCAGGTTTAACAAGAGACTGCCTGGAGCGGTGGCCAAGAGGTGGGGTTGGTCTAAAGCCTTCGGCCTCCACGCTGCTACCAATTTGTTGGGGAAAGTCATTCGCGCCAATTAGACCCTGCTCGGTAAAGGGCTGTCCTGTTTGGGAGGCAGGTAAAGAAGCCATTGCGGGAATAGGTGATCAATGAAAGTGACACATCACTTATGCCTCCAGTCCTTCGTAGACAGTTAGCCCTCAATTAGCTCTCCAAGAGCAGAGGAAATACATGTACTTGCCTTGCTAATGGGCACATGGTCAGGACTAGGCAATTCATACAAGCCTTTATGTTCTAAGATGAAATGCACCGAGATATTGGGATTAATGAGTTTCTGACTTGTGGGTTTGGAAAAACTGTGTTTTTTCATACTTCTCCACAAGCAATGGTTTAATGGTAAAACAACAATGAAAAGGAACCAGGCCCCTTTCCTGCCTTTATCCTGCTCAGGAGAGAATGTGTCCAGGAGTGACATTTTCCCCTGTGCCTTTAACACCTGTATTCACAGCTCATATCCCACAGGAGTGTGCGGGGCCTGAGTCGGTGGTGGTTTATGGCTAATGTCTACTCCGATCAGCTGGGCATCCGTTCTGTTTGTGGGTGCCTATGGTGGACACACCCTAAGGTGACACTCTCTCCCATGAGTCAGTCATGTTCTTTTTTTTTAATTTTCTTTTTTTGGGGGGTGTGGTTTTGCGGTGGGGGGGGGGGTGCTGGTGAGTCACGTTCTTTAGAATCCCACCCCTTTGAGTGGCAGCAGAACCTGTGACCTGCTTCAGACCAATAGCACTGGGTGAACATGACGGGATGTCATACTCATGACCCCAGATGATCTTGAAGACACCTACAGTCACGTCGTAAGAGGACTTGGGGAGAAGGCCACTGGCGGCTGCGTGTGGGGAGCCTCCAGGAGCACAAAGAGGCCCCCTGACAACAGCCAGCAAGAAAGGAGGCCCTCGGCGAAGGCCCAGATCCCAGGTGTGAACTAAGTCACAGGGGTGAGAGCACAGCATCGGGGCCAGTAATTTCTTAATAACTGTGTACGGTGACAGGTGGTTATTAGATTTATTGTGATCACTTCGTGGAGGATGTAAATGTTGAATCACTATGGTGTAAACCTGACATTAATATAATATTGTATGCCAACTACAATTAAAAATAAATTTTTAAAAAGTCCACTGCCAAACACACACACACACACACACACGCACACACACACACACAAATACGAGGCACTCAGTCCTACAGTCGCAACGAAGTGAATTCTTCCAAATACCTGAATGCGCTGGGAAGCAGGTCTTTTCCTAGCAGGGGCTCCATGTGAGAATGCCGTCTGGCCAACGCCGTGACTGCAGCCTGTGAGACCCTGAGCAGGGGCCTGGCTGAGCCATGCTCGGACCCCCTGGCCCACCAGAACCACAAGCTCACGAACGTGTTTTGTGTTAAGCCACTACACTTGCGGTCATTTGTTACATAGCAACAAAACCCAAATTCATTGCACGTGCTGTACCAGTCATGAAACGTTCAATGATTGCCCGTTTCGTTTGTGGCATAATTAGCTACACCCCAACCGCTCTGTGATACAGCATGGTCCGTAGACCTTGTGCAGTGACTATGGACTCAGGCAATTATGATTTTGCTTCCTAATGGGATTGTGAGCCCCCGGAGGGCGAGAACTCTGTTCTTGTACTTCTTAGAAATCCCACAGTGCCTCAACGTGCTTGGCACACAGTAGGTACGGAGGCATGTGTGATGTGAGTTTTTGACCCTTCATTTGTCCAACTGAACTAAAGGGGCCTTAGATTAAAGACGTAGAGGCATGCAGCATGCCTCTGCTAAATGCCTGGGGTATAGCAGGTTAGGTCCCACACACGCAGAGAACAAGTCAAAACTCCTGCCCTGCCCGTCGTTCATGGTTCAACCCAACCCATGAGGTCTTGCAGTCTCGTCTCCTTCCCACGCAGAATCAGAAGACACCCAACGATTCCTAGAGTTGTCAGTCTGTCAAATTCTGATTCTGCAGGTCAGGTAAAGGGGCAACTAGAAAGATCTTCAGGGACTTTTTGTGAGTTTTCAGTTTGCAAGGTGAAAATGCAAAAGGCCGCTGTGGTGCCCGTCTTCCAGGAAACAGGGAGGGAGCGTGAGGACACATGGCCACCCTCTGCTTGTCCTCCACAGCCCGGGCAGTTGGCCCTTCACCTCTGACTCGGGGACGTAGCCACATTCAAGCAGACCAGAGATCAAAGCCGTAATAGGCAGGAGCTACTCTTTATTCATAGGTTTACAGAATGGATCGAATTAAGAGGCATATCATTTGTTAACTCTATTTACCAAAAAGAGCTAAATATATGTTCAGCCTTAAAATGCATTCATTGTAGCTTGTACACTGCAAAATTCGCTTTCATATGCACATGAACTATTCTTAGTTTGCCTAAATTATGCATTTAAAATACATAAAAATGATACCAAATGGCACACTGGCCTATTTTATCACAGGTCTTATACATTCCTGATAGTCAAAGGGGTTAATGGGGAATGCATAGTTTCCTACTAGAAAAAAAGGCAGATTCTCATACAAGCAATGGCGTAATGTAAGGATAAGAGTGCCTCGGTTTAGATTTCAGTCACTTTTCAGATACTTCTTACTCTCATTAGTGTTATAATTGGTTTTCTTCATGAATAATTGGGATGCTATTAATTTGCCTGATCATTCCACCGTCTACTTGCCTGGCTGAGGCAAAGGAAATCATTATGACTTTCTCTTTTCTTCCAGTTTATTTCCACTTTCCCCAAAGAGTTCCCTCCACCACAGCCATCTGCCCTGCTTTTCTGCCCATTTCCTTTACTTTTCCCCCAGGTCCTGGCCGTCTCGCTCACTGTGTCAACAACTAGATCATTGCCCTCTAGTCCAGGGTGCCGTTTCACAGAATCTCTGGCCACCGCCTAATTAAAGAACTGTTCTAAAGCTGCGAGCGAGGGGCGGAGGCTTCTGCAGAAGAATTGGGGAGCCAGCCCGAGACATTTTCATTAGGTGGCTTGCAAACAGACTGCCCTCCCGCAGGCCTTCCCCTCTCTTTCATTATCCCCCGGCGGAGACATTTCCATCGCGAGTGTTCCTGGCAGCCCAGCCTCCAGCATCCCACGCTGATTCCTTTCCTAAAAATATGCAGCCTCTCAGTCCGTGGGGAAGAAAAATGCAACCCTGCCATTTCCAGCGAGGCTGAGGGCGGCCTGGAGCAATTCATCATCGCTCGTGCATTCGAGTTCTCCGCTCCTCCCCGCCCCCCACGGAACCGTTCTTGTTTATCTTGTGGACGTCGTGACAAGAACCAGATGCGCCTCAACCTCAGCCTCCTTCCCACAGGTATGTGAGGGGAGAGACGACCGTGCCGGATGGAAACCCTCTTCAGAACAGAAAATTCTCTGCAACTCCTGGAAGACATTCAAGAGTGGGGGCGTGCCTGGAGCGGCGGTTCCGTGGCGTTTAATCGTTAAATGGTCCGGTTGATTGGATGGTTGTCTGTTCAGCACTATTTTCCTTCGGGCGATGCCCATTTTGTTGCACTTTTCATTTCCTCTCAAGGTGCTGCTATCTTCAAAACCACAATTAGAACGTTTTTCGCTCAGAGGACACAGCCGAGGCACAGAAAGAAAACGCCGGGCTTGCGGCTCAGAGGGCAAGTTCTAGTCTTGCCAGTCTCCACTGGCTCATGTTGAGCGAGCAATTGACTTAGAATTTCTGTGTCTACTTCCTTCTCTCCGAAACTGGAATGATGTCTGCCCTCGAATCAACTCCTTCTGAGCAAATGAGATGAACACAGATATACGTTGGGAAATATAAAGCTTTGATGAAGTACAAGTTGGTCTTATTATCCACCGCCCACGAGCACAGCGCCATCCGCACAGAAGGCTTATTTTTAGAGTCTTGATAAGAGATCTATTCCTGGCTCCACGGCATTTGGGGACAAGTCCTTGCTTTCAGGCTGCGTATCTCGGCCACACGGCTGTGTGGAGGGACTCGGAGTGAGCGCCTAGTCACCAAGATTGTAAAGAGAGAACAAGCTGAGATGACCGACCAGCGGGTGATGGGAACGGGTGGAGAAAGAAGCACATCACCTCCTAAAGCTCCCTCCACGGGGACGGTCCCCCATGTCCCTTGGCTTTGGATGTCTATCGTCACTCGGGGTTTTTTTTTTTTTCTCTCTCACATTATTACTGGAAGAAATCTTCTTGCAGAAATTGTTTAAAACTTGAGGGACTCTTGGGATGGAGCAGTAAGATTAATGAAGCAAAGCTTCCCTCGCCTCGCGCCAAGAACATCCACACTCCTTAAGTAAGTCGGCCAGAACAAATATCTCCTCCCTCAGCGCAGACACTCTGCGGGCTGCAGACTCGGATCCTGTCTAAGAGTTTCTAGACAAGCAGGTAGAAGAAAAGAAATCCTGACTGCAGCCGAGTGGCTTGCCCACCCTCTCACCCTCCAACCCCCACTCCCATCAGAAGCTTTAGATTTTTCTTCCCCCCTGTCTCACCTGGACTCAGCAGGTCCCTCCACCCCTCCTCACACCCAGCCTGGCACCCTGTGCTCCCTGGTTTTCAAGATTCTGGGCAAGGGTGACCAGGGGTTGAGGACACGTGGTTAGCCCCTAATTTTGCCCTCAGAGGTGAAGCTGGGAAGCAGGGGCACCACTCGGTAAAGGCAGCACTGTGGCGACATCCCGGGTGCCTTCTCTACAGATGTCTAAATCAGGACATCATTTTGATCTGGCCCCAGTGCGATCTAAACATCTGCTACCTGACTATTTGCCCAGAGCCCATTTTCCCACCCAGCCTTGCCTGAGGGCTGCCAAGCACCAGAAAAAATAGTTTGCCCATCTTGACAGCCCGAGGCACAGCAGGGCTGGCCCATGGTCAGCCACCCCAGGGCAGGGATCTGGGCGTCTGCTGTCCATTCAGGCAACCAGGAAGGCACAAGAACGCAGAAGAAAGAGTCACTTGTGCTTTCAAAGAGAAAAGCCCACCACTTTTCTTCTGTTTGTTTGGTGCTTAGTAGGAATGTTTCAAGCAACAAAGCCACTGTGTGTGGATGAGTTCGTTCACTAAAATCCCTGGCGTCCTCAGCTGGAAGCCCTCAGCCTGCAGCCCCAGAATGTACCCAAGAGAGCTGCGGTGACATCGATGCATTGTTCTCTAAGTGCTATTTATTGCCTCGATCTGCACTGCTTGAAGTCTGGGAACAAACACATTCATATCTGCGGCAAAACATCTCCCTACTCATGACTTGGCCAACAAAAAATCACTAAAAGAAATAACAATACAGTACAATGATTATGCTGTGCTCATGGCTAGAAGAGAAGTTGTGGGTTACTCTGTGAGAGCCACTCCTGAAAAGCATCCACTTCATACTCTCTGAAGAGACCCAGCTAACCAGGCAGAACATCCCCCTGGACCAGTCCACAAAACCAGACCCCCTGCCCCCACCGCCCTGCGATGAGCTTCCCAATGGTCCACACCAGAGTGGCCCATTTGAGACAGGCCACCTGGGCCCCTGAGTGCAGACCCACTCTGTGGGATTCAGCTCCACAGCTCTTCCCTACGGATGAGCTGGTCCCCCACCGCCATCCTGGATGGGATGAGCCCCCTGGCAGCACATGGCCCCCACTGAGCTAAGAACTGAGAGAGGAAGGAGCGTGCCATCCAGAGTACCCCACCTTCTACAGTTTGGTGCTATAGCACCTTTGGAAGGGCTGTGCTGGCAGGACGTCGACAAAGCAGACTGTTACATGAGTAGGGAGGTATGCAGGTGGGCAGGTAGGCAGGTTGCTATTCAATTACTTCGAATATTAAGTTGCCCAGAGGGCAGAGACATGCATCGGTCAAAAGGCCATCGCTAGGTTTCAAAGCACGTCGAGATTCGTGTCAAGTCCCCCTTGACTCCGCAAAATCTTCCTTCAGAAATTCTCCCCAGATGGAAATACCTGCTCTATTGCTCTGCAGGACAGAATAAAAAGCACCATTCAGTCTCTGGGCTGTCTGCTGGTTACCCGCACCCTCAAAGGACGGGGTCAGAGAAGCAGGTGAGTCGCAGAGAGCATCAAACGAGCACCGTCGCTCTGGCCACCGCGGGGGTCAGCTCTGAACCACAAGAAGAGGAGAAACTCCTTTGTCTCGCTCCTGGGCCCACAGCCCGTGCTGGGCCTAGACATGTATCAGCAGAACATTTTCTTGGTAGCAGAGGAGGCAATTCGTTAAACACTATTTGTTGACACACCCATGACAAGCATCCATATGAGCCAATGAAATAAATAGTCAGGGTTCAGCTAATAAGGGGGGGAGGGGTTTGGGAAATTGGGATGGCTCAAAATAGCACTGCTGAGTGTTATCAGATTTTTAAACTTATCATCAGCAAATCTTTTCAGCTGACTTTGGCTTTAAGCGTTCTTACCAGAAAGATTGCTAAAACGAGGTGAGAAAGGCCCATAGTTTGTTTGGTCTTTTTTAAAAAAAATGGTTCATTGTAATAGCTGTCACACCTTATCCAATGTTCTCACTTAAAAACAAAACAAAACAAAAAAACACATTCCTTTCCTAGATGGTAAGAGTTAAGACTGTACTCTTTTCTCCAGAATTACAGGCTTTAAGATGTCTTTTTAGATGGGAGAATGGGCGTGTCATGCAGTTAGCCAATAAACGCAATCCCTGATTAAAATGTGAGTTCTAAAAGGTTGAAAACTTCTAACTACTTCCCCGATGCAGGTTTAGTTTCAGACCTCTGAACCGGGCTCCTTTTTAAATATCTGTCCTCGCCCTGTCTTGGGAGAGCTAGTGCTACGCGTCCCTCACGTTCACCCAGCACCCCCCTTCACAAGCTTAAGTCAACCACTATGTGTTCGAAAATCTTTGTTTTCCCTTTGAAACTGGAGGCGAAAAAGAAATCTCTCCTGTCGGTAGAGACCGCTGTGAAGCACCGAGGTGCCTGCACATAAATCTCCTTAAATTTCTTGAACAGCTGCTTCTCTTTATCCCACTGGTAGATCTGGGAGAACGTGTAGTCACTGCCCAGGGCCAGGTAGTGGTTCTCTTTAAAGGAGAAGGGCTGCAGGGTCATGGCCCCCCGGGAGGGCAGAGCCTGGACCTCCACAAACTGCTTACTGTTCCACCTCATGACCCTGGAGTCCCCGATGAAGCGGGTGAGGGAGAGGTACAGGGCGTTCTGCATCCGGAAGCTCTTCACGGCCAGCACGTCCTCCATGTTGGGGATGTCACTGTGGGGGACAAACTTCTTGGAGCTCTTGTTCCACTGCAGGATGATGGGCACCTGGGAGCGGCTGGACAGGATCAGGTGAGACTTCCCGTCGATGTCCACGAACTCGGCATCCGTGTCCCTGAACCACTCGTGCAGGGACTGGTACGAGTAGAACCCTTTGCTGTTCCACTTGTACACCGTCGACAGGCCGGCTTTCGAGCTGTCGGCAATGATGAAGAATGTCTCGTCGTCGATCTGAAACAGCTCGATGTCGTTGGGCTTGGAGATGCGAGAGACTTCGATGTCTTGGAATTTGACAAACTTGGTCCAGCTCTCATCGTATTTGTAGATGTGAGAGCCGCCGAAGAGCTGGGCCACCACCACAAAGACCTGGTCCTCGATGAGGATGGCCTTGCAGCCCACGATGGACTGACCTGCGCTCCAAAAGAAAGGAGAGGGGGTTAGGGCAGACACCACGGCGACAGGGGCTCCTCCACGGTGACGTTGGGACCCAGGGGAACTACTGGCGAGAAATGTGTAACGGCGCAGCCCCTATGGAAACCATAGGAAAATTAAGCCATTGAAAACAAAGAATTACCATATGATCCAGAAATTCTATCTCTGGATCCTTAGCCAAAGCAATTCAAGATAGGGTCTTAAAGAGAGATGTGTACACCCAAGTGCCCAGAAGCATTATTCAAAACAGCCAAGAGGCGAAAGCCACCCAGGTGTCCACTGAGGGACGAATGCACAAACACACGTGGGTTATCCCTACCGTGGAACATTATTCAGCCCTTAAAAGGAAGGAGGTTCTGATACAGGCTACACTGTGGATGGATGGTGAGCACATTGGCCAAGTGAAATAAGCCAGTTCACAAATACACAAATGCTGTGTGATCTCACTCATATGAGGCACCTCGAGCAGTCAGACCCACAGAGACAGGGAGTAGAGTGGCTGCCTGGTCTGGGAGGAGGGGACAGTGGGGAGCTGCTGTTTCATGGCTGTGGGTTTTCAGTGTTTCCAGACGAGAGGGTTCTGGAGTGCGGCTGCACAAAAACGTGAACTTACCTAACACAGCCGAATGGTACACTTCCAAATGGCCAAGGCGGTCGGTGTTATGCTACGTCTGTTTTCCCACAATTAAAGAATTTTAAACCCTCTTTAGTACATGGCAGTTCCACAGAAACAGGGACATGCTGGCTGCCTGGGTCTCTGCGTCTTCAGAGGCAGGCGTCCAGTTCGGGAGACTCACTGCCACACCGAAGGGACCGTCTTCACGCTGTTCAAAACAGTGCTTCCCGACTGCACGGGACAGAAGGAGGCCATTGCGCGGGCTCCCTCTCTGGGCAGGTCGGGGTGGGGGTGGGCAGCCAGTGTTAAAGGGAGGCCTGAGGCCTCGTGGAAAGGAGGAAAAATTGTTAATAAGGGCTCTTGAAGACATTTGGCCTCTGCTGATTTCCAGAGCTACAGGAAACCGAGGCAGCGTGGCGTCAAACCTTGGGACTCGAGACCAGTGGCCCAGGGTTCCCAAGGAAGCCCCGCACCTGAAAAGCCCTGTGACCCCGAGCCAGTCATCTGGACTCTGTGTGCGCAGGCTCCTCGTCTGTGAAACAAGACAAAGAAGGAGGCTGGCCCTGACCTCACGGGCTGCCGTAGAGACGCAGTGAGACGCCCCGGTTCAGGTGTTAGCCCAGAGCGCCTGCACGCGGGAAGGAGTCGATAGCTAGTGGCTATCATCACTGAGTCACTGCAGCAACTGTCTCCGGAATCAAAAGACCTAGCTCTTCGAGAGACTGCCCACTGCACAGACACCTGTGGGATGAGCGATGATCGGTGGTGTGGCTCAGGGGGCACAAAACTAGACCTTTGCAGCTAAAAGGGAACATTGTGACTCCCCCAGAGGTCTGGACCACCTCCTACCAGCCTCTCCCACTCTGCTTTCAGACCCCAGACGACCCCCACCATCCTTCCCATTCCAGCCCACCAGCAACAGGACCCCCCCATGTTTCCAAAGTATTGACCCTCCATCTCCGTCATTTTATTAAAAGTTCTTTCCTCTAGTTTTCTAGGCAATTTGGACCAAAGTGAATTTGATCTGTAAATCACAAGGGAAGCCACCCAGTGTCTGTCCTCGGCAATAACTTTGGGGGCAGGCAGTAGGTGGCTGTTACAGCGATGTTAACTTTTCTCTTTCACTACGCTGGCCTTCTTGCAAGAACCTGGTCCCTTTCCTCTGCTTCTTGCATTTTTTTCTGAGTATCAAAGTTTTAAATGTTCCCTAAAGCAAGTTTTTAAAAATAATAATAACAGGTAGCATTTATAAAGTGTGTACTATGACCAAGCACTGCACTAAGCACTTTATATGTATCTTCACTTATTTAATCCTACACCAACCAGATGAGGCAAGTACTATTGTTACCACGATCCCCATTTTATAAAGGGTGAAACTGAGGCACAGAGCTTACGCAAGGTCAGACAGCTAGAATGTGATTGAGATGGGAAATCTATTGCTACCTCCCTAGTCTGGCTCTACTCTACACTCTGTCAACAACACACAGAAAGGTACGAAGAAGAAAATCTACATCACTGGTATTGCAAATGCTGAAATAATACTTCATATCTTGATGCATTTCTTTAATCCTCACTCTATGCTCATATTCAAATGCACTTTTAAAAAGTAAATGTGAGCTTGTGGGATATATACACAGGTTTCTGATAACCTACGTGCTTTGCACTTGACCGGTGTGTTGTGGACATGTCCCATGTTACTGCATCTTCTCTAACTAGATTTTTAAATACTACCCAGAACTCCAATGCATGAATGCACCCCAGTGTCACTAGTCCCCTATCGCTGGGCATTGCGGTTATTTCCAGCTTTTCATTATTGTGAGTAACATGCTCCCTTATAGAGAAATCTTTTTTGGAAAACCATCTGGCAGTGTTCTTCAACGTTTGCTGAGTCAAACATTGTGCACATTTTCAAAGGCTTCTGGGCTGAAACTACCAAGCTGCTCTTCGAAAGCTGCACCGACTCCCCGCCGCCGACTCTAATTGAGAGTGCGTGCTCCTGGTCTCCTTCCTGAACCGCCTGGCCGTGGAGGTCCCTGCTGCCCAGAAGCTCCCTCCTGGCCTGCCAGCCGCAGCGGAGGGGCCGGTGGGGCAGAAAGAACTCGTTCTTTAGGAAGGCTCCACCACGTTTCTGTGCACGGAGGTGCCAGTAGGAGCAGAGGTCATACTGTGCGCACCCGTGTGTGTGTGTGTGTGTGTGTGTGTGTGTGTGTGTGTGTGTATTCTAACGTAGGAAAGAGAGACTAGAGGCTGGGCCATACTTTGTACATAGAAATCAAAAGTCAAACAAAACAAGTCAAAACCAGAAGAGCTGAGAAGAGATGTGGAAAGAAAAAGATGTGAGGAGTAAGCCCTTGGGGTGAACACGACCACGGGTTTCCCTCGCCCCCTAGAAGCTGATGCACAGCTGGAGCTGGCCCTGTCGCCCAGTGCTCACTGGGGTCACAAGGGCGGAAGCAGGTGCACCTCCCACTCCCCGGAACTCCGGTCTTGCCAGGCAAGGCTGAGAAAATCTGCCCAGCCCTTGCCTGACTCTGGGACCACCCCGTGACCAAACAAGATGACCAACGAGACGTGCTCGCCCCATGAAGAGAAACCAGTCCACATTTGCCCAGGTCTTCTTTGGGGCAAGCGGTTGCGTGGCTGTTCCCTTTCTCACCCTGTGCCTGGCGCATGCGTGCTGCGGGGCCTCCTTCAGGTCAGGCTCAGGTGCAGCTGGCCACGCTCCTTCCTGCACCCAGGGGTCCACCTACTTCAGCAAACGCCCTCTTCCCCTGCCTCCCTGCTGGCCCCTGCCAGTCCCTACACTAATGAACATTGTGGAGAGGTTTTATCTGAAGTCAAAGAGTTAGGGTCTGTGGGGGGAGGGGGCCTGCGCCTGTCTCTTCTTCACTATAAAACAGAGACAACACTACGCATGTTAAGAGCTTATGTGGTTTACGACAGAAAAGGCTTAAAAATCACTGCGTACATAAATGTCCGTTGTCTTCCTCTGAGGGAAAAATTGTGTGGCAATGAATGTGATCTGTGTTTAATAGAAACTCACGTACTGAGGGAGGAGAGAAGACAGGTGTGTTATTCCAATCGGGTCATCAAGGAGTGCTTCCTGTAGGAGGCTGCATTTGAGCCTGGAGACCCGGGTGAAGGGAGAAATATATGCAAGTGAGATGGCTGAATTGTAAGATGGGATCCGAAATCAATAAATGACGTAAAATAGGCCACACATATCAGGCAGGCATGCTCAGGCCCTGCTGCATGGATTTGTGTGCTTTCGTGACAACGGGTAAACAATCTGCAGCTGGCAGCTCCCCTAGTGGTGGTGGCAAGGAATGGAAATCAAATACCTATTTCTTACTCCCCGCTGGTAACCCGACGTTCATTGAGAGTTTACTATGTTCCAGGCTCTGTGCTGAGTGTTATACCCGTTACCCCCATTCAATTCCCATGGGCCCAATAATGCTACCACGGCCCCATTTTACAGACGAAATGGGAATGCATGAAATTCCTGTTTTACAGATGAAAGGGGCACATGGAAGTTAACTAGCGTGGCCAAGGTCATCAGCTATAAACATCTGAAGCCACTTTTATCGATCACCAGTGTGATGTTCGCACTTGTAAGCTTTACCACTGTGGGAGCCATTTCTTGAGCTTGGCTGCGAAGAGAATCCCAGTGAGCTTCATGACTGGCTGCCACCCCTCAGACTCAGACATCGAGACTGAGGGGTCCAGGAATCCCTGGAAACTAGCAAGGTCCAGCCCTGGCTCTGGCCATGGCCACACCCACTCCGACCTCACTGACCACTTCCTACACTCCACCTGTGTGGGCTCCACTGGGTCCAGGCCATCGGTGCCCACCTGCAATTCCTGCAACAGCCTTTCAACCCTTCACTCTCTTTCCACCTCTGCTCCTCCTCCCACAGGCCACTCTCAACCCAGGGCAGCCCTCCGATCTCTGCACAAAGCCCTCCAAGGCTCTGCGGAGCGCTTGGAGAAAACGCCCGAGCCCTCTGTAAGACCTGCAAGGCCCCGTGATCAGCCCTCCTTACCTCTCCGACTTCGTCTTCGCCATGCTCCCCCGGATCGTTTTGCTCACGCCAAACTGGCCTCCTGAATTGCCCAGACAAGAAACCCTCCTGCCTCTGTACCTTCGCACTGCTGTTCCCTCTGTCTGTAATGCTCTTCCCCAAGTTCTTCGCATGGGTCAAGCCCTCATGCCCCACAGGCCCAACTCAGAAAACACCTGCTCCATGAGGACTTTGCCAGACACCATCTAAAATTTCAACCTCCCACACCCAGCCCACCTTCATCTCGCTTCTTAGCATGCTGCTACCTAAGTGTTATATGTATTACAATTATTTGTCCTTTTTATTCTCTTACTCTCTCTCCTGTGAGAATGTAAACTCCTTGAAGGCAGAGGTGTTCATCTGGCTTGTTTGTTGCTACGGCCCCAGCACCAAGACTGTATCTGGCTCAGGGTAAGTGCTCAAGGAGTCTCTGTGAATGAATCAATGAATGAATGAATGACTTGAACTCAGGCATGCCATGAGCTGTAGGTGGGGGGCAGTGCCAGCCCTTCCCACCCAGGTCAGCCTGGGAGAGGGAAGGAGTGTGATGCACCAGTGACAAACCCTGGGCTCTGCAGGGTTATCTGCAGAAGTCACAGTGGAGTGACTCATCCATGACAGTGTGAAGAGGAAGCCAGCATGAAGAGCTGCCTGCCCCGTGCCTGGCACTCGTCAATCCTCACAGCTTCCACATGGGGTGTACCTGCCCATTTCGCAGATGAGAAAACTGAGCCTAGGGGGCCACCGGGACTTCCAAGCACATGGCAGAGTCAGGAGTAGGACCCACATCCGTCACTTTTCAAAACCCCAGCTCTTCAGAGTCTGGATGCCAGCTCCCCCTTGAAGGGAGGGCTTTTGCCCTCTACCTAAGGGCAGGCAACTCACAGTATTACCCCCAGTGGCTGCTGTGAGTTTCCAATGAGACAAAGCAGCGTCTGGCACCCCGCACCCTGACAGCCAGCACTGACAACGAGTGTGGACACTGGGAACTCCCTGCACAAGAGCAAAGCATCACTCTGCTCCCACCTCGTATCATGGCAGAAGGCCGCAGGGGGTTGGGGGGGGGGCAGCTCTCTCACCCCTCACCTACCTTCCAAGTCAGGGAAAACAGGGGAAAAAGTACATGGGTAGCGAGTCCCTCTATCGCCTCCCTTTCTCCTTTAATGTGGACTCCGTTTAGTGTCCGAAGGCCTCAGCTTCCGTCGACAGGTTCACCTGCGCGGCGGCTCCGTGCTGAGTCTGCACTTGGACAAGCGGGGCTGCGCTCAAGAATGTGAGCTCAGCACCAGGTGGCCAGATGGCTCGACAGCAACGTGGCTCATCTGAAAGGGCCTCTTGGTGGCATCTGCTTGTGCGCCTCACGGGCCTCTCAGGGCTGCGAGATGAGGCTCCTTACGACACTTTCCCTGCCTCTCTGCATCCTGCACCTGCTGCGAAGCCACTTGGTGCCGGAGAGATTCCTGGGAGCCTCCCCATCCGGAAATTCTACCTAGATGTGCTTCTCGCTGCCACAGCAAAACGCTGCTCGAACTCCAAATCGGGAACCGCTAAAGGAAATTCTCTCTGGGGGTAACAGTTGGGCCACCGTGATGCGGTTTATAAAGTTAGTGTCATTATCAGGTTGCACTTGATAAATGAGAAGTCTTTGAAATATCATTTTGACTTTATGCGCTTATTTAAAAAGCAAACAGACCACCCATTTTTAGTAGCACTAAGACCCTGGGATGCCCTGCCAGCACTGAAAGAAGCACTAACTCTTGTCCCAAAGGCCTGAATCTAACAGCTATGTGTTTTTATTTGTTTGCACTTACTAAAAGGAAGCAGTGACCACCAGGACATGACATGGGGGCAGGAAGAACAGCTAGAGAGTGTACATGTGTTTGCATGCATGTTCACGTGCATGAGCATGAGCACTGTGTGTGCATGTCAACACATGCCTGTGTGTGCTGCATGAGCACACATGCACATGTTAGTTAATCATCGGCTTTTAAAACGTCAAAGGAGTCCTGTAGATGCTGCAGAGCTGGTGCCATCTTAGGCAGCCATGCCCACTCAAGATCAAGGGGTTCTCGAGGTCACTTCTCACCCCTCCAGGAAAGTGCCCCCCACCACAGGCAACCCGTCACCCTCTCCCTTTCAAAAGGATCACCAGCAATAAACAGGGTACCACATGAGGCTTCTGGTCTCACCAACAATGGACCACGTCATGAAAAAAAAACAGAGAGATGGGGTGAGGCTGGAACATGTCCCCCAAATCTAACCAAGTGAGAGAGCAAGCAGTGTCTCAGCAGAGAACGTCTCTTCTCTCGCCACAGTGAGGCCCGCACGTCTGATCACAGCCACAACACACCTGTAATGTTGTCGTAGCTCCGGAAGTTCATTTCGATGTGGTCCCACTCGAGCACCATGCAGTTCTCCATGCTGGGCTGGGCGATGGCCACATACACATCGTTCTTGGAGTTAAACGTATCCACCGAGACCGACTGGTAGGGCAGAGTCTGATGAACGACAAAATCTGGGGAAGGGTGTTGGGACAGAAAGCCTCCGTGAGAGCTCTTGTGGGAATGACCGAGCACCCCTTCTTTCCTTTCTCTCATCAGTTCCCAACAAAAGGGGGAGGGGGAGGACAGGAGAGAAGCAATGCAAACATCACAGCGTGTTTGGCTTTGGGAAAAGGCTGTGGCGTGCACGGGATCATCAGGCCGAACGCACAGCTCCTAATACAACTTCTTTGAGATAAACAGGTGATGGGTTTGGCTAAAAGATCTCGGTGTTTTAATCAAATTGGGTGAGACCTGGCTTTCAAAAAGGCATGACAGAAGGATGCCACACAGCAGCATTCCGTGAACTTTCCTCCGTGAACAAGGGGGGCCGTGGGCAACTTCATTTGGGAGACGCTGTGTTTCCAGCCCTCCCAGAAGAAACCTCGGTAATAAGGAACCCTGCTGGTGGTGTTTGCCACGGTGGGCCTCCAGCTCACCGGACAATGGGGTCCTTGGAGCCCATTAGCACGCTCCCCTGCTCTGCGTTACACCAGCGCCAAACTGTCGTGGCAGGGTCACAATGAAAAGTCGACCCCCAAGCGGCACACTGCATATGTGGCAGCCACACCAAGCCCTCCGGTGTGGTCTCAGAGGTTTATGAAGCCCCTCGTGCAAGGAGGTTAAGCATGTTTGCTGGCTCCTGGACCCAGTGCAGCGTGAGTGCCTGCAGTCTGGAGATCTGTTGGAGCTTCAGGCACGTGCTTGACTCTTACATTTAGCAGTAAAGTAATACCCCTTGTCCACATCGCTCCCCTGACTCACTGTATTAAACCTCGGGAGGGAATGTACAATTTCACTAAGGGGCAGGGCACACATGCTCTCAGGTGCACAGACAGTTAGTGTGGGGGGGAGCCAGAGAACCGACGAAGAAAAGGAAGAAAAGAACACTAATAAAGTATAAGAGAAGTCCTTTCTCTGGCCAGAGAGCTTTCCACGTGCACTGCTTCCTGGAGGGTTAAATGCGCCCGGGACACAATGATGGAGGGCGTCTGGCTAAGGAAAGTCGCTCCTAAGAAAAGTCCTGGCTTTGTCCATCTAGCCCCACACCATCCTTGACGGTGGCCCCTCAAGTCCTGTCTCCCCTGCAAAGCCTCTCCGACCCTTCCAATCCTCAGGACCCTTCCTAATGCACTGGGCACATAAGCCGGCCCTGCTGTTTTACACCCTATTATTCACGATGATTGAATCTTCAACGTGGTGACAGTGGGGTCAGCTTTGGAGAAGTGGGAGAGAGCTAGAGCCTCGAGGAATTTTACAGAGCCAGGAGCCCAGAGAGGGTGTGTGTCTGCCCTTAGACACACAGCACGGTGCATCTCCTGAACAACTGGAAGGCCTCTAAGGTCAGACCTGGGTCCTACACTTCTCAGAGCCCTCATGGCCCCAGCCCATGGCAGCCACTCAAGAAATAACTCTGACACGGAAGCCTCTTAAAGCTGTTACACGAGACAGGCCGTAAAGGGACAGGCCACCCACGAGTGAGTAAAGAGGGGCAGCGCTGAAGGAGGGGAGGCGGGAACAGAGGTGAGAGCAGCGCTGGGCAAGTGCTGGCGTAGGGAGCATGGAGGCGGCAAGAGCAGGTGCCGGTCGGTCGGGGCAGCGGCGAGGGGCCCGACTGCGGGAGTGAGGGCGACGGGAGGCACTGGAGAGGGTGCTGCGCCTGGGGTCAGACCACCTGAAACCACTTCCTGCACAGGAGAGACACTGCACAAGTGCTTCCCCAGACAAGGCCTCAGTTTACTGAGCCACACTATGGGTGCACTGGTGCTTACCTCCCCAGCTGAATGGCAGAGGGACATGTGGGGCAGTGTTGATAGAAATGCCCACCTCGGGGCTTAGCACACTGTAGTTGCTTAATAAATATGGAATTAAAGTTAGAGAAAGGACGGTCTACCTCCCCTGTCCCAGCTACCACTGGGCTGTCACTTGGGGGAGTGTCCACTTTAATGGCATCGAAGACAAGATGCTAGAGCTGTGACTCCATCTGCCTGCTGAGTGACCTAGAGGAAGTTACTTAACCTCTGCCTCAGCCTCCTCATTGTACATTACGATCCACACTCACTTAGACCTGCATAAAGTTAGTGCCCGATACACGTTCACTGTCAGAAGTGTCCCTCCCTGTGTATGGAAGGTGCTTGACTGGTGCTGCTGGCTCATTCTGAAGGCCGTGGGGGTGCAGGCAAGGACAAGGCTGAGTGGACGATGCTCGCAGGTGTAGTGAGAAGAGGGAGAAGCAAAGAGGAGGCTGTCCCTGCACACCAACAGCAAGAGGTAGCCAAGGGGGAATGGGGACAGGTGGCACTGTGGATGGGACCCCGTCTGTGGTCGCCCCTTGGTAGTGTTATGTATGTAACTAGACAAGTACATATAGTCTTATGGTATTAGTTCCAATGATAACCTTAGGCTACCTGCATGAAGATACGGAAGAGTCACGATGGCCCCTAGCCCCAACTTTCTACCAACAAACCCAAAACACCACCGTTCCGCACTCAAAGGGCAAAGCAGAAAACGTCAGCCTCGGTTCTTGCCTGCTGGCAGGGGCAGGACCAGTGCAGGAGCCGGGGACCACTGACCTATGACACGTGTCTCCTCTGTGCTCGTGCATCACTGCGTGGGAAGTGGAAGCAGGCCCTGTCTGCGTCCTCTTCAGGAGTCAGAGAAGGACTCAGAGAGTAGCAGTGCATTCCTTCAGTGACAACTGAGACGGCTACAAACCCTCCCCGACCCCCGGGTACAGCCCTCGGATCCGAGCCTGCAGGACCTTCTAAACACCACGCGATGCCCGTCACACTTGTTCTAGTCTGTCTCCTGGCTACATACATATTGAACTCCCAGAGACACGAGCATCTTCTTAAACATGGGGGTCCTTTAAAGTGATGACCAAAACGTCAGTTTTTTATGAACGAAGCCCAGAAAGAGAAAGAGCTGCCAGAGAGGACAGCCTTTTACACACCTAGCCATCAGTGGTCTGCTGATCATTTATTTTCCCCAAAACATCCGTCTCATCATATTTTCTATAAACTGAGTATCTGACACAAAACAAACTGTTAAGTCATTTGAATCATAAATCTAATTCTAAGGAGATTCCTTTTCCCTTCCTCCCTCCCACCCCCCCCACCCCCTTTAAAAAAGGAGGAAGAAGACAAGAAAAAGAGGAAGAAACCGGGTGGAAGAAAATGATGGATGCAGATGTGCATGTGTGTAGCGGGGAGGGGGTTGGAATTTAAAGATCTTCTTCCGTCCTCATCTTAATTTATCTTTCACAAACGGCACACGCACATTCATGTGGAACGCTCTCAGAGAATGCACATATTGATACGACACCAATTTACTAGTGTTTAAGTATTATTGGTATTCTCTGCAAAAGCCTGCCGCTTCCCTTCGCGCTGGATTAGTTCATGATGTCAGTGGGACGCTTTCAGTTCAGGCACGGCTCCCACTGGAATCAACAGATTTTTACACAGCTATTTATAGCACTTGCAGAAAATAAATTATACATGATGCCTATCCTGTTGGGAGAGAAACTGCACATTAATGCATTATTTCTCTTCGCATTTTCATCAGCCCTGAAATAGGGAAGCTAACAGGACCATTAGGATGCAAAACTCACTCCCTCTAAGGAATTTAGTGAATTATCCACCTAATGTGGGGAATCATGAGCAGGTAACAGGGATTTCTGAGGTGGTTAAAAATAGACTCGCGGCGGAGGGTGCTGGCAGGACGGTGATTAAGCTGGAGAGCCGAAACCGTCCAGGGCTTGCTGCGCGGCGTTAATTACACCCCTGTGCCCAGAACAGTGTCTGCCTCGCTTCTTCCATCTGAAGAACTCACTCTTCGCCGGCAGCTCTGAGCTCAGAGGAAAACAAGGCACCAAGGACATGTGCTTCCTCCCGAACCTTTGGCGAGGATGCGCTCACCGTGCCGGCGCGAGCGTGGGCTTTCCGTCTTCCTCAGCCCTGAATAAAGCGGAAGATAGGAGCCCCCCGAACCTCCCAACTTATGAACCTATGTTTCTACAGGGCAGGGACTCTCTCTGGGGACTGGTCACAACCTGGCTGTGCCATTGTCTTCCATGGTGGAAGAAACTAGAAGCAAGATAACTTGTCCAGGAGTCTTCAAGGGAGAAAACGACAACCCAGAGTCACCATCTCCCTGTTACCAGGGGGAGCGCTGACTATCTCGATTTAATTGCAAGCTTTTTAGCAAAGATATATATATGAGAGAGAGAATGCCCTGCAATGCATTAGGGGCTCACACTGCCCTGTGCATTCTGGCTGTAAGACAGATTTCAGATCGGCCACCTCCATTCCCCTAACAGTTCTCAGAGCCCGGATTGTTTTGGTAGCCATCCACGGGGCTCTGAGGTCAGAAGTCATACTGTGTGTCGCGTAAGTTATTCCCCGCTCCCCAAGGCCCTCTAGAGCCTGTGTCATTTCTCTCTGAGCTGGGCAAGCTTTCCGTGCATCGCGGCCTGGTGTGAACAGCACAATGCAAAAGCTGTTAACGTCACAAGGGGGGTTGGAGAACACTCCAGAAAACCTGCAGAAGAGGTCGAGAGGAGCCCCGATGAGCTTAGGTGTAGCAATGCATGCCAAATGGCCTTGAAGGCCACCTTTGGGTGCAAATGTCCTTGACTCGACCTCTGATTTATTGCGCTGCCCCACAACACAGTAAATAACCTGCCAGTGGCCTCAGCTGGCTACAGGGCACCTGCCGATTACACAGCTGAGCAAGCTCCCACTCCGTGATGAAAGACAAGGTCATTTCCGCAGGAGTTCAGGCGTTCTCTCAGAAGGGAGCAGGACTTGTAGGGTCCCTTATTTACAAAGTTATCTAGAAATAATTTTTACTTTCTGAGTGTTTGTTCATTTGGAAGACGGCAGCAGGGCTGGCCTAAATGTGATATTTTATTCTTGAAGTCCTTTTGTCTTTTTAGTTTCTGGAACTATTTCCTGAGTTCTCGTGCCTGCTGCTCCTACTGACATGCCCGGAGGCTCTGCCGATATCAGATCTCAGCCTACATGTTGATTTTTTCTGAGTCTGATGAGCAAGTGCCGTGCTGTGGGTGGATCCTCCTCTCCCCTTTACAAACCAGACTTCAGAAGCCGCGGCAGCTCCGTCTCAGCCCGTCCGTCGCAGGGAGACACTCGCCTGCCCCCTGCAGGGCGTGCGGAGCGGAGGCAGTTTGCACCACGGAGCCCCGGTTCTCCAAGGTTCACTGCGTCCCAGAAGGCTGTTTGAGGACCACAGTGTTCGAGACGGGAGACGTTGGAGAGCCGAGGTTTGACTGTATCCTAGTTTTATCTCTATAGCCTGCGAAATGTATCAACTGAAAACTTAAGGCAGGCCCTCCAGTTTGCAGTTCATACGAAATCAAGCTTGACATTTTTCCCTCAATAGGAGTTGTTTCTTTTGACAACTAACTGTTCACTTAGATTTCTACTTCACCACTGGTTATAATTGAGCTAGTTATCTTTTTTTTTACCTGGAACTACGAACACGATTTATAGATTTTTAAAGTCTATAAACTTGAACTTTAAATATTCACTCAGATTCATAGAATTCAATAATTTTGGTGTCTCAGTGCTAGCTTTAAGTGGAAACCCAAACTGATTTGAAAGTGGTTTTGTGCCAAACTCACTAGTGTATACTTCATTCTTTTTAAAAAAATCTTTTGAGAAATTTGAATTTTGTAAAGAACCAACAAGACTCGAAATTAAAGCCAGTGCAGTTAACAAACATCTAAACGGTTGAGATCTTTTTTGCACCACATCAATTCATATCCCTTAGCACCTTTACATTTTGCCTAAACTAATTTTGATAGAAAAGGTTTACACCCACTTTTCTCCACTCCCTGTTGACAGTCTGAAAGAACATCAGTGGATTATCCCGCGTAACCGTCTTCGGGGACAGAGGGTCTGAATACCTGTCGTCGTGCACTCGTAGTCGAAGCTGGTCACGTCGTTTAGCTTCTTCTCCTGGTACTCAGGGGGACCGATACACAGCACATCCGAAACGGTGGAATTCGTCATCTTCAACCACAGGTACAACCACTTGGCTTTGCAGTCACACTCAAATTTATTGCCCCTCAAATCTCTGAAAATAAATAAATAAATAAAACAAAACGCAAACACAGAGACACAAGACAGGCCGGAAATGTTTTGGCAGTAATACGAGACTCCTGAATCACTAACATCTTGATAGAGGTAATGCCCCCCAAAAATGTAATGTGAAATTGTTTTTCTATCCAACACATCCTATTTCTTGTCCTTACCACTGCCTTTATTGAGTAATCCTCAGTGCCTACGAACTGAACCATACGGCCTCCAGAGAGCCTTTGGGGCCAACATACCACCATTTCTCCCCCGTGCTACGCTGGACACGGGGGACTCGGCAGGGGGACACCCACCCCCCCACACACACACAGGTTCTCACAAACACACACAGGACGCTGTAGGACACCAGTTTCCACAGACACGGCTGGAGCGGGAAGATCCCGTGAAATGACACCCAGTGAGAAGGGGCCAACGCTAGCAGGCTAAAAACACTGTCTCCGGGAAAGGGCCCAACGCTCCGAGGTCTGTTCTAAAATGGCAAAATCCAGTCCAGTACAGACTCGGAGCTGTCTCCTAGCGAGCACCTCCTTGTCACAGAGTCTCCAGCTATGTATGACAGGAAAGAAACGCAGCAAAGAAGGAGAGAGTATTTAAAGACACGATTAACTGGGGCACAATGACAAGCAGGCATAAACTGGATCTTCATTACTTACAGTTCAATCAGAGAGTCTAAATCACTGAAGACGTCTCTCGGGAGTGCTTTTATGTGGTTATTGGCCAAAGAACTAGAACAAGAAAGTAACATTTTAATGTGGTTATTATCTTCATGCCCTATTACTCTGGAGTCCCTTAAATAACGTAATGATTTCAAATAGAGCTCTAAACCTCTTCGGCACACTGCGGTTCAATTTCCGGCTTTGGTCATCAATACTGGGATAAAGAAATGCGTTTAGTTATATACCAAAATAACATTATAGATGCTGGAGTACCATGTAAATCTTTTGTTTTGTTTTTACAACAAGCATTTATTAAACTCTTCACAGACATCTATGAAACCTCTGACACCACTCACGCATCTCCAAATAAAAGCTACAGTCCCTTTGATGGCACCCAAGGCCCTCCCCTGGCCAGTCCACCCCCACCCCCACCCACCTATGGGGCCGAATCTACACCACCAAGATCCAGCCACATGGCCTCTTTTTACAAAATATTCTTTAACCGATTTTAGAGAGAGATGAAGGAGGGAGGCAGAGAGAGAGAAAGAGAGGGAGCGAGAGAAACACTGATTTGTGTTTCCATTTATTATGCATTCATTGGTCGATATTCTTGTATGTGCCCTGACCAGGGATCAAACCCACAACCTTGGAGTATTGGGATGACATTCTAAACAACTGAGCTACCTGGCCAGGGCACGCTGGCCTTTTTGTTATTCCTCAAACAGGGGAAACGCAGTCCCAGCTCAAGGCCTCTGCATCTGCAGTCCTTCTGCCTAGAATGTTCATCCCCCAGGCCCCCACAGCTCACCCCATCACCTCCTGCCTCTGTCCTCAACTGTCTCTGACCTCTCCGCCTCTTTCTCACGGGCTCTGTTCTTCCCTGCATGACTGTTGCTTGGCACACTATACATTTTATTTATCTATTTGTTTATGGACTGTGTATTTTTCCTATACATAAGCAACATGAGGAAAGATTTCTGTCCATCCACATTTGCATCCTTGGCTCACAGAACAGTGCCTGGCACATAGTAGGTACTCAATAAATCTTTGTCGAATGAATGAATTAATGCACTAAAATGACAATGATTTAAAAAAAAAGATGCACAGTCTTGTGCCAAGAAGTTCCCTAATGGTCCATTTAAGTGAATGCTATCACTTGTGACTCTAAGAAAGGACTCGGTAAATACACTTTTACATAAAGACTTCCAGCTCTAACCCGAACGACAATATAAAATCTCAATGAGCCACGTGTATGAAATGAATGATGGTGGTCACTTTCAGTTTCTCATTAACGAAGGTTGGCTAGAAACCACTCTGCATGCTTGCTCTGAGTGTTGAAGAGCTTTCTATAATGCCCTAGCCCACCCCCGCTCACCCAGAAGGAGACTTGAACGAAGAACCATCAACTCCTCCGAAGATTCGGGACTTGGCAGCACCCTGCCATCATCCTGCTGAAGACGAATGCCCGAGGGCCGGGCTGCTGACGTTGAAAGATGCCGGTGCAGAAGTGCCAAGCACCAGGCCTGCAGCCCCACCCCCACCCCCCGCCCCCCCCATTCTGCTCTGCTGTGAGTCAGCCACAAAACAGATGCCCACAGCTTTCCCTCACACGGGAACACAAACAGCAAAACTATACAGGATAAACACGTGGGCAGTTCAGCACCAACCTCTTTAAATAGATACATGAAATTACTCTTTCGTGGCACCAGAATGACCCGTCGCAGAAAGAGGAATTAAAGAAACGAGTATTCTTCCTTAGACTCAGCCAGGGCGGACAGCTCTGAGCCCACTTCAAACCGACCCTTCGGGCTTCGAGATACTAACAGAATACGGGGAGACCCCTTCCTTTCTAGAGAACCACCCCTGGATTAGAATACCACTTCGTGTATTGTTAAACCTTTCTTTCCTAAATGACTTATCCGTGCCTTTTTAAAGATGTTGGGAAATAGACTAAATATATAATCAGATTGAACATACTCTAGACAGATTTCTGAAATTAAAGAACATGTTTGTTTTGATTTTTTTCCCCTGGTTGATGGTGGCTTTACCTGAAAAGCACAAATTTCTTTCTAGCTCATGAAAGGTTAATTATTTAGCTAAATGTGCTGTTGCTTGAAATGTATCGTACTGAAGTGACAAGACCATACAGATTGGTCAAGGCCAAAGAAGCAGACCGTTTAGCCACCGTTCCAAGTGCTCCATTTAGATTTCAGAAAGCTGAATTATTTACGCGGGCCGGCCAGCCCACTCACACTCAGCGCCTAATGTCTTACTCCCCACTTCATTTTCCCTACCAATTCACAGCCCTTACTTCATTTCTAAAACTCCTTGACAGCAACCTGTCCCTTGGGCTGCAGAGAGAGGCCTGCTGGAAAACAAACGCCCTAGATCTTAGTTACAGATTGGCGCTGCTCCCCCAGCACTCTGAAACCTGATCTTTGATTCTTTACATATACATGGTACCCTGCAGGTGTGGGGAAAGTTCTTAGAAGTTTAAAATCAGACACGTAAACAAGCAAGTTCCATATAGCGACTTTTTTAATCACAGGAGTGAACTTGAAAGAGCTGATGTGCTCTCTCTGCTTAGAAGTTTACCACATGGGGAGCTGTGGGGGGCACCATGGAAGGCTCAGCTCATTCTTAAACGATGTATTCAATGTTTTAAATACAACCTACATCTCCAGCCTGGGGGAGGCCACTTTAAAGCCACCTCACATGCCAAGAAGTAGAGTCCCTACAGAAAATCCAGCTCAGGAAGGAACATACTGGTCAACCAGCAAATCGGAAACAAGTCCTGCTGGCTTAGCCCGGAGCTAGAGGCTGGGCGCAGGGCAGAGCTAATGGAAGATCCTGACCAGCCCTCTCCTCGGGGGACTTGTAGTGATGCTGGCAAGATAAAACTAATGTCCGTGAAACAGCACAACCAGTATGGCCTGCGTCTACAGGAAAGTGTGTGGGTGTGTGGAGCCAACAGAGAGGGCCACAGGAGCCATCCAAACGGCTCCATGGCAGGGACAGAACTTCATCTGGACTTTGAAGGAAAAGCGGATGGATTCCAGGATATTGCAGACGAAAGAAACAGCCTCCAGGGCAAGAGAAAGGCTGGAAGGAAAAGCCCAGGAATGAGATGAGCTGGGTCCACATGGGGACACCCTGAGAGCCCAGTGTTCTGAGGACTTTGGGGATATGAGGCTGCAGAGCTGGGGACAGGGGGCCCTGTTGGCTTGGCTGTCAGACGGCAACACATGCTAGGACAGGTGTATTAGTGCATCTGATGCGCTCTGGACCCAAGCCGAGGATTCCTTTGTTCCCTCTGCATTTCACACAGAGGAGGAGGCGCCTCTTACACATATGTACATCTGATATACACAGATATGGTGGTGTGTGCAGATGCACAGACATGCACACATGAAGCAGTTATGTACACACGTAGAGAAGTCCATGTACCCATGGGAACAAATGTGCAAAGCTATGCAAATATACATGCATGATACCTGCATGTTCTCACTGGTTTTCAGACCAGGGGCTGTAGCCAATTCGTTGAATAAAAGTTGACATCTGGGCTAACTCAGTCACGTGAGCTTTGCTTTAGGTTCACAATTTGCCCAGAGTCTTTGCTTAAAACAAAGCCCCTCATTCCTGACTTCTGGGGACTGGGTTTACCCGGCCACAGCTGTTCCTCTCCAGACACCCACAGCTGTCTTCTTAGCAGGCCCTGTCTGGCCACCCAAACTGCCAAGGCTACTCAGCAGTCATGGAGAAAATTGAGACTTCTTAATGAGCGCAGGAAGGGAATGCTGTTGTTGATGATGATGAAGATGATTTCAAAAAAAGCCAAGCATAACTTGGGCATATACCTGGGAGATGGTCTAAATGCAGGACCCCACTTTGCATGGCAACCCTCTGGGGTCAGTATGATCACCCCCATATTTAGGAGGAGGAATCAGCCTCAAGAGGCTGAGTAACAGTAATAAATGACGGCACTGGGATTTGAACCCAAGCCTGTGTGACTCCAAGCCCATTGTCTCAGCCTTGACAGGACTGTGCAGATTCAGCATCTAGGTCGAATGTGGGGGGAAATCAAGGCTTCGACAGGAAGAAAAGAAAGCCTGGAACAGCCAACAAGAGTCTGACACGCTCCGGGATCGACTGTGCTGATCCAGAGGTTTAAACCTCCCACTTCTGCCGCCTCATCGCCTTCCTCTGTGAGCCTGAACTCAGGCAGAGCTGCTGCCCTGCAGGATTCCAGAGCCGAGTGCTCCCCGAGCCTGGGGACAGACACCTTTGCCTACGTCAGGGTTTGAGGTAAACAATTACCTCTGGAGAGGCTGTATCAGTCAGGTGACACCGGCTGAGGGCATTGCCACTCCTGCCCAACACCCCATTCAAAGCCCATCCCCCTTTTCTCCCTTTCTTTTTCCCACACACAAGCTGATCTGACTCAAACACAAAGCATCTATCACAAAAACGAGATCTGGTCCTGGCTAATAAATGGCTCCTACAAGACAATGACCGTTTTTACGTTTTCATAAACCACAGTCCCTATTTTTTCCACTTTTCTACATTTGCTAAGTAAGTGTATTCACTTGCTTTATTCTGATATGCCAATTCAAATCAATCTGTTTAAACTTTTTTTCTCCAGGAAGCTATTTAAAAACCCAGAGAGCTTAGCTTAAGCCACTGATTAATCCAACATAAAAGGAAAAGCTATTTGCATTCAAATGAGAGGAACCACAAAATGTCTCTATTCCATTTTGTCCTATTTCTGACCCTGCACCCAACATTCTTCTACGAGTCATGAAAGCCTCAGTTCCTAAATCTGTAAAACGGGGACTCACAGGTTATTGTGGAAGACAGACAGAAGGAGGCTCACGCAGCACCCAGCCCTGTGCAGGGCACAGAGCGGGTGTACATTGCGTGTCAGTTTCCTTCCCACCTCCTCCATCACTCACACAGGCACTCCCAGCTCAGAGGGCTCCCTACTGGACATGCAGGCATGTGGTCCACCACAGTGATCCAGAGTGATGGAAAAGATGATCAAGAAAGTGTGTCTTTCTGAACTAGAGAACAGTCTGACAGTGTTCAGAGGGGAGAGGAGAGGGAATTTCAGGGGAAAAGGGGAAGGGTTTACAGGAAGAAGTATAAAGGGCACATGGATAGAAACTAGGGGTAGGTGGAAATGGGAGGGAGGAGGGGAGGGCTGGGTGGGTGGGTTGGGATGGGAAATTGTACTGCAACAACAATTAAAATAAAAAATATTTTTTAAAAAAGAGAGAAAGTGTGTCTTTATTATCTTGGGATGGTGACTGATTGGCAATATAGAAACCTCCAGGGTAACCTGGAAATTAGTTTCACTCAGAGGGTATTCACACTATGGAGAACAGTGGAAAAAAAAAAACACACACACACAGAAAAATAGAGTCACCAGGAAGTGAATCAGACTTTACACCCTAAAAGACTTGACATCACTTTTCATAGGACTTACAGGTGAGTCAGGTCACGGAGGCCACGGAAGGCATTTCTTGAAATGGTTTCTATTTTGTTCCCTTCGATGAACCTAAGGAGAAGAGCAGTATAATTAAACTGAATTTCCTTAGCTTACTATGTCTAAAAAAATGACATTGGTATGCTTTTGGAATAAAACCTAAAAACGTTCGTGAAGTTAACAATTCAACTCTGAAGAGTAGGTCAGCCGCCCCAGGCTCCAGGTGGGAGCAGGTGTGTGCTCCCCACACTCCCCAGACGCAGCATGGTGGTCTTCGCATTCAGAGCTGGCAATGTGGGCAAAACCATCTTGGGGACAAAGAGAAGAAAGCACTCTACAAAGGCAAGAAATGTTCGCAGCTCTGCGAGCCTGGCATGCTCCCATACGGTCACCCCTTCTTACATTTCCCAGCCTGGCTATTAATACGTTTGTTAATATCACTCTCCCTTGGGGGAGCCCATTGTTTCATATCTCCTTATGGAAGTTTTTGCTGAGGGAGAATTCCATTAAGCTTGGCTTCTGGCAAACTTTGAGTTCATCGCGTCCTACGCAGTCTGATCTCTGAACAGACCGGTGACGAGGCAGGGTCCTCTCGGGACCTGGAAGGCACTAGGAAGTAGGAAGTGTGATGACACTGAGTGTGGGCCAAGCCTCTCTCTCTGCACTGAAACGTCTTAGGGCTGGAGCATAGGACCCTGCAACATAATTCAGGCCGTGCTTTAAAGTCTCAGTGAGAGATGCAAGCACTGCGACTGTGCCCCAGCGCCACAGAGGCCTACAGCTTACTTGAAGGCATCTCACGTCTTCAAATGGAAGAGGGTCTTTGATGAATGACATGGTCCAAGGGACAGGCTTTGCCACACAATGCCAGTGGCTAGTGAAATAGCTCTTGGTTCTTGGACTGAGAACATTCCTATGCCTGGTTGTAAAAGTCAGGGGTCTATTCAGCGACAGACTCCAGTATAAACGAAGCTACCCTCCTGCTCAATCACCTCGACAGGAAGACAAACCGCTCACAAGAGAAAACCGGTAGCTTCACAGCAACTCCCTCCACCGTCTGTTCACGCGCTTCAGCAGAACCTAGCTGGGCTTAGCGCTCCAGTCCCACCTGCCTGTCCGTGTGAAGTACACTATCCCGTGTCATGAGAGCGCACCTACTAGGTGCACTCTGGAGAAGGAACTCCAGAAACATCCTTCTAGGACGTAAAATCAGCAGGGAGCTTTCTTAGACCCAGGATGTGTTTAGAATTCAAACATCTACAATACCTGTCTACCTCAGATAAGAAAGCAGAGACAAGGCGTCAAAAATCCCTCTGAATGCTAAGTAAGGAAATCCCATCTGATAGCAGGATTAATATTATTACAAAGTTACAAAAGACCAGGATGAAAGAACCCAAGGGGGGGAAAGACATGAAAGAGGGAAAGACAGAAACCAGAGGGAGGGCAAAGCTCACTGCTGGGGAGAAACTGCACATTTGAGGAGAGAAAAGGAACCTCTTTTGAAAGGAGGAGAAAGGAAATTAGACTCCTGTCAGCAGCTCACAGGAGATACCGCAAACGGGACATAGGCCAACTGAATTAAAAACATGAAGTTGCATTCCCATCGAGGGAGACTTTATTTCGAAATAAGTAACCCCCAGAATCCTCCAGCTTTATTTCTGGCTGATCAGCAAATCCATGCCCAGTTATGAGAGGTAAAAATATCCAACGCAATTTCCAATTGTGCTTACTACATGACAAATTAAATGTCAGCAGAGAATGGATGTCTTTCCTTCTTTGTTTCCTTTCCCCGCTTTGTCCCCAACCTCCTCCCATCCCGGCATGTTCATACACAAGTAAACTACAAAAGGTCAGTGCTGAAAAGAGAATGGGGTTTTCTCCGTTTTCTCCACCCCTAAGTTCTCTAAGAGATTCTGTTCGGCCTGGAAAGCAATACAGCAATTCCACTGAAATACCAAATGCTCAGCAAAGGGACAAAGCACAACACTTACAGGTATTCGAGATGAAAAAGTCCAGCAAAAGCATCATCCCGGATGACTGTAAATGAGTTAGAATTCAGCAATCTGAAAATAAAGGACAGATTTCAATGCAGAGACGTAAAACTGGAGTCCCACAGTGAAGCCATTTCTGTTTCTTTTCCTATGTTCTGATCAGTGGGCAAATATGGGCTCTTCCCTACCTAAGGCTGGCCCATCAGATGCACAACCCAACTCACAGATGCTGACAGAAAATGGCAAGTGGGTTCCCTTTGTCCAATTTTCTGCTCACCCCCATTATTCTACCTTCTCTTGCCCGTGGGTCTCAGTAAACATTCCAACCCCAGCACACAACTGAACAGCCAGGGAGTGCTCTGTGGTGCACAAGCAATCACAGAATTAGAGACCTAAAAGGAGCTAATCCAACTCCATTTTTAGAGAAATGTGAGCCCAGAGAAGCTGTCACTTCACAAAAGTCACACAACTGAGACCAAAATAAAAAAAATTATAAACCTTTTTACTATATTATACATTCCCATGAGGGGAAAAAAGGTTTAGGAAAACTTCAGAAGACTCTTTATCACCAAATATTTTTCATGAGTCACTACCTGAGTAAACTTGGTAAAAGTTCATACGGTCTCTGTAGTTACCACTTAAGTCTACTTGGTAAAATACCTAACACAGTATTTCTATCATATGGAAAGTGTGTTTTATTAGAGCTAGAATTTCCAGGAAATTTCAGAATTTAATGTATATTGCTTAATTTTGATCTCATCTCAAACTTAAGAAACCAGTACAAATACAGAGAGTAGGCTGTGTACTCATGACTTTGCCTGTCACCGATTCACTTTTGAAAGGTGCTTTCTGGACATTTCTTTTCCTTAGCAAACATCAACTGACCCGGGCAGCAGGGCGCAGCCTAGGCACTGGCCAAGAGCAGCCGGGGTGCAGAGCAGCTATGCGTGTGTGTTAGAATCCTGGCTGTGACTTTGAGCAACTTACTGAACTTCTCTGAGCCTCAATTTTCTCATCTGCCAAATGGGGTAATAAACATATCCTTCTTGTAGGGATAACAAAATGATTAAATAAAATTTTGCATATAAATATATCTCATGCTTCCCAATAGTTCATGTATTCAGTCAACTAGAAATACTGCCATTTCCAGGGTAACATTAAGAGTTTAAACTGTAGGTTTTCTCTTAAAGTACAGGAAACAGTTAATTGAGATGAAGTTCCAGTCAAAATTCAGTGTAGGCCCTGGCTGGTGTGGCTCAGTATATTAAGCGCCAGCCTGAGAACTAAAAGGTCTCTGGTTCAATTCCCAGTTGGGGCCTGTGCCTGGGTTGTAGGCCAGGTCCCCAGCTGGAGGTGTGCGAGATGTTTCTCTCTTGCATCCATGTCTCTCTCCCTCACTTTCCCTTCTCTCTGGAACTAAATAAATAAAATATTTAAAAAAAAATTTTTTTGACATAACCACTTGCTTAAAATTTTTTTGACATAACCACGGCCCCAGTTGCTGGGGAGCCGGGGGGGGGGGGGGGTGTTGGGACCTGCAATAAAGTCTTTGAGGAAAGCATGTGCAGGAAGAAGGACGGGACACTGAACCAAGCGCCTTGGGACTCAGCTTGAGGGGAACACCACAGGCCAGGCTACCACTAAGATCCAGCCATGCTTTACTCAGGGGCCTTGAGTGTTTCAGGAAGAACTGACATCAAAGACGCCGAGATCACTCCTCCCAGGACTGCACCTCCGGGACCCCCATTTTCAGGGAGAACTTCCCACACTCACAGCAGCTGCAGGGAAGGCAGATGGGAAAACATGCGGTCCTTGATCTCCGAGAACGTTCCATTTACCAGGCTCCTGCAGGCACAAGAGGAACACAATGAGGCCTAGGCTGTTTGAGGAGTGCTGGGCAGGATGGGCAATCAGCCTTATCCTCCACCTGCACTCCCAACGCCTCCACTAGGGAATGAGTCTTAAAACAGTCGGCCAGGGGATTCTTGGGGTAGGAACAAGAGGGAGTCGAGTTCATGTGGCAGTGTACTGGATCAATGTGAAACTAGTCTGAATAACAGAAACCTTTACCACCCATCCAGCTCCTTCTGTAGACGTTATCTCAGCCAGTTTGAATCAATTCCCCCTGCTTCGTTTTACTTAACTACAGGAGGCCCAGGCTGCAAATGGATAATTATTTCACCTCTGCCCATGATTCTGTTTGTGCAGACACATTGTTAATGTTGGCCAAGAAACTCCGGGGTAGGATTAAGCATTCCCCTTGGGAGCCTATCTCTGAAAGACACTCAGAGCACTTCTGATTAAATGCACCGTGAAAGCCTTGGGGAAAAACTCAGAGGCACCTGAACTTGAATGTGCAGTGGGAGGCAATGCCATCTGCCAGACTTGACGGTCCATGTAGGGGCAAGAGGCTTGGCTCTGCTATTGCTCCAGGTTCCCCATCCTTTCTGGCCACAGCAGGACCTCGGCACATTATTCACAATGACTTCAGTTAGCATGCAGATAAATGAAGCAGCTGCTGGTCTAAAGGATTTAACAAGGGGAATTCTAATTTCTGGGATCCTCCATGTCACCAGATTTAGCAACATCAGGAAACAAAAAGGCCCTCTTTCCCTGCCAGCCAGACTCCGAACTTTTTAGAAATGCAAACAGGATGCCCATCACTCCTGAGTCCGGGCCTCTGTGCCTTGCCAAGGGGTTGGAGGCAGGACAGGGTAGTTCCAAGAGGAGGTGTCCTGAGCAGAGCAGCTTCACCTGGGAATTCCCCACCTCTGCAACTCACAGGGCATCCCCCAGCACCGAGGCCTGGAACAAGGGAGTCATTTCCCCAGGAAACATTTCCCGGCAGTGAAGATAGAGCCCAGTAGCCCCCTTTCACAGCCATTATGAGAGCTGGTCACGTGGCTTGAGTGGCTATGTGCGGGCAGGTTGAAAGCATCTCTTAGCAGGTGGATAAATGATGTGGAGCCTTTTCCCATCAGTTCCTCTGGCACTGGAAAAGCAGCCAATACAGTATGTGGTGCAGAGACAGGGCGAGAAGCCCTTGTGGACTCAGGGCAAGAAGTCAGGCCGACTTCCAGCACCTGACCACTAGGCTGGGTGCCCTACGTGCCTCAACGCTCTGCCAAGCCCTCTGTGTTCTCTTCCAGGTCACACGGGGAAGCACCCCACCACCACCGCCCCCCTCCCAGAGGCTGTATGACTTTACCCAGGTTCTTCCCAGCCTGACCTGTAGGGAGGTCGGGACGAGGCCACGGTGTAAACCACAGCCCCAGACCGGAGGTGGGACAGTGGGGCTTCACCTCTTCCCGGGCGCACTCCCTCCAGCGTGCTCACCGCACAGACGTGCCCACACACAACCCCCGCAACGTACACACAGCCTCTCAAACTTTAACGCACCCCAGATTCACCTGGGGACGCCAAATGCAGACTCCAAGGCTCCGCTCCAGAGCCCCTGCTTCATTCAGCGTGGACCCCAGAATCTGCCTTGGCACAAGGCAGGCAGGTGGGTCCTGCCAGGTAGGTGGGTCTGATGCGGGTGGCCCGAGGGCCACACTTGGAGAAACACTGTCACAGGGACTTGTCCGGGTTCCCAGACTCTGCGTCTCGGTTCCCTCCATCCACCCCAGGGCCCGAGACTCCACCCACGTCCCGCAGCGCTCCTCCACCCAAACATAAAGAAACCGGCTGGGGAGTGGGGTCGGGTCGCGGCGTCCCAAGGCCAGAAGCAACTCGCTGGCGACGGCGGGCACAGGGTGGGGCGGGGCGGGGGGCTGGAGAGGTCCCACTCACTCACAGGGAGCTGATGTCGCCCGGCACGACCCTGGGCACCCAGGAAGAGCCCACGCAGATGATGGACTCCTTGGTACAGCTGCAAGTGGCGGGGCAGCGCGCCAACCGCCTCACCTGCGCGCTCGGCGGGACCCAGCACGCGGCGCCCAGCAGCAGCAGCAGCAGCAGCCGCCCCGGCACCCCGTTGCCGCCCCTCCGCAGCGCCATGCCGGGTCCCCGCACCCCGCCCCAGTGCCGACCCCTGCCGCCGCGCCGCGCGCCTGGACCGGGCGCCGCTGCAGACACGGGCGCCACTCGCAGCTCCGCCGCCGCCGCTGCTGGCGAGGACGAGGGCGCAGCGGGTGTGGGAGGCCGAGCTGCAGCCGAGCAGCATGCTGGCCGCCGCCCCCACTCGGCGCCCCCCCACCCGAGCCCGGGCTGCTGGGCGGCTGCCGCTGTGCCCGCCGCACTCGCGCCCGCCTGACATCAGCGCTCTTGCCCGCAGCCCGCTCTGGCCAATGAAGAATGCGGGGCGGACGCCCGCCCCGCCCCCGCCGTGCCCCGGGGCCGCCACCCCCTCCGGACCCTCCCGGACCCTCCCCGGCAGCGGCGGGAAGAGGGAAAAGTTGGGTGACCTTGGGGGACGGCCGGCCTCGGACGGAGACCCCCTGGGGGCCCGCTGAGCGGCGGGGCGTCAGATGCCCGCAGTCCCTCCGGCGGGCTCCTTTTGCCCGACCAAAACAGGAGGTGGGGGGTGGGGGGCGGGGGTAAAAGTAGGGCCGAGGGAGCTGGCTTGATGACTGGGGAGGGACATTTTCGTCCTGGGTGCTTTGAAGAGTGCAGAATTTTGAGCAGCCTTTACTAATTTTTTTGAAAAAGAACTGAAACGAAGACTGCCGTAGAGTGGGGCGGGGGGAAGGTGGGGGGGGTGCTTTGCTCGTGCTCTGCGGTGGGGCTGTGGGGCCTGGGTCCGCGTTCCCCCGGCGCCCTGGGTCTGCTGAAGCCCGCCACCTCTCCCTGCGGAAGGAATGGAGAACGGGGAGCCCGCTACGGCAGCGCGCGCCCCTGCTACTCTGAGGCCTGCCTGCCGCTGGCTACAACAGAGCTGAGAAGCCCGCGAAAGTTTCCCCTCTCGATTCAGCACTCTCTCCGGCACCCCACCCACCCACCCGAATTACAGGGCAGGCGTGCTTTGTTAATAGAGATGGAGGGCGTGATTCGCTCTGGGTGCTGTATGTTTAATCTACTCCTAACCCTTTGAAGCAGGTCGTATGTATCTCCTTAAGGTACTGGTGAGGAAACTGAGGCACAGAAAGCACCAGTAACTGGGTGATGGTTCAGGAGTAGATGGCTGGGCAGAGATGGGGGCTGGATCCTGGGCCCTGTAGTGCAGCCTGGGGTAGGGATTGGTAGCCAGTCCCTCCTGAGCCCCTCTTCCATTCTTCACGTTTGCTACGTGGAGCTTGAATCTTACTAGCACAAGGTAGCATCAACTGGGGAAATCAAAGAAAATGGCCAAAACAGAAGCAAAATGATGGTTCATAGCCTGAACCGGCGGAGCTGGGAGTCCAGGGTGCCATCCTCAGGCTACCACCAAGGCGAACCATTTTCTCTGTTAAGATTCACCCAGAGGAGGCAGTGCCAAGGCCAAAGGTGATTCCTGCAGGAATCATCAAGACTATCCCTTCCCCAGACCTCCTTCTGAGCATGTCTCAGGCTGGCGGCCATGGGAGGGGACAAAGGGCGCAGGCCCTATCCTCAGGGAACTTGAAGTCTAGCTGGGCAGACAGCCCTAAGGAGTAACTGCACTGGCCCAGGGGTCACACCCTGACCAAAGGGGTTCAGGCATTGAAAGGGAGCTGTCACAGGTAACCTTGTGGAGGAAGTGGAGGTTCACTGCAGGAAGCGTTTATCCAACACCTAGCATCTCTGTGAATCAGTCTACGTTTGCCGTCACTTCGTTCTCACAGCTCCCCCGAGAAACAGGTCTTCCCATTTTATAGACGGGAAAATCAATCTCGGAGACTTTTTTTCTTGCCCAAGTTCTCCAGGAGACAGCCAGGAGCATCCTTCCCCAGAACTGGCTGCTGTGTCCAGCCCTCACTCCTGTGTTGGCTTGCATTCCATAAATGCTCTACCCAGCAAGGCCCAGTGCGGGGGGTGAGGACGAAGACCGTGGTGTGGGTGGGGTGACAGGCAGGGGGGCCCACCCCCATGGATCTGTGTCCCACACGGCAGAAAGACACCTGCCTTTAGATGGATAGGCTACTGCGGGGGAAGGAAGCAAGGCTTCTCTCGTGTAGCACCTTCCTGCTGACCCAAGGAGGGAAAATCCGCTTCTCACTGTTGGGGTGGAGTGGGAGTAGGGCGGGGAAGGTAAACTCTCTGCCCCCAGGATTAGATAGATAGCCTGGAGTGAGCGTCCCAGCACGACACTCACTAACTGCAGTCACGGGCAAGCTTTAAGCCTCAGTTTGGGGGGTTAAATGTGATCAAGAATGTAAAGCACACCTTGCCACACAGGAAGTACTGGGTATTTATTTGTTCGGAATTCTGAGTGATGTTGTGGACAAAGCAATTCTCAGCTCACCCCCGTGACTTGCGGGAACAACCAGGGTCGGGGGAGGGGCTCTGAAAGGGTGAGTTTTATTAACTTTTGTGTTTCCATCACAGTCAAAGACAGAGACACAGTCCAGCATAGCGGTTCTCAATCAGGGGTGACACTTGGCAATGTCTGGAGATACGTGGGGTTGTCACAGTGGCATAGGTGCCACTGGCACCTAGGGTAGAGACCAGGGATGCTAGGAAGTGTCCGGCAGTGCACAACAGAGAATGATACAGCCCACAATGTCACCAGTGCCCAGGTGGAGAGGCCCTGGTCTGGTGTCCTGGAAAGACGTTCGGCATCGGGGGCGCCAGAGACGCAGATTCCAGGCCCGGCTCCACCGCGCATGAGCAATCCTTGCTCCCGTCACTCCCATCTCAGCCTCTACTGCCTTGTCTATGAAGCGGGAATAATGGGACAGCGAGACCTTCCTTGCTCTTCCCCGTGTAAACACAACATAGCAGTATTGCTACCCTTACCCTCCCCACGCCAGGGCTGACTCCAGCCCATCCTCTCCGACCTGGAAGACTAGAAAGTTCCTCACAGGAAGGCTGCAAAGAGAACTTGGGGAGCATAGCTGGGGGTGTTGGTATTTGTTTCAACTCCATTAGAGACACTGAATGCTTGTAATATTATATGTGAAGTTCATAAATTATGACCTAAAAATGGAAATGCAGATTATTTTGGTTTGGTTCCAACATCTTCAGCCATTGGGGGGGAAACACTTAGTAGACAATCAGAGAAAATCTGTTTCCAAGAAATAGCAAGAGTTTTTCAAAATGTAGAATTCCACCGTGGCTGGTGTAGCTCAGTGGATTGAGCGTGGGCTGTGAACCAAAGCATCGCAGGTTCGATTCCCAGTCAGGGCACATGCCTGGGTTGCAGGCCATGACCCCCAGCAACCTCACATTGATGTTTCTCTCTCTCTCTCTTTCTCCCTCCCTTCCCTCTCTAAAAATAAATAAATAAAATCTTAAATAAATAAATAAAACCCACTTTAAAAAAATGTAGAAGTCCTTGTTCAGATGTACACTGCCTCGAGCTATCTCCATGACGAGAGCACACGCTCGTCCCTGCAGGGGCTGACGCGGTGCCAGCTGCAGTGGCAGCTCCAAGCATTGCCCGGTGCAGCCCCCAGCTCATTCAACCGCCTGTCAGTCTGGTCCGTATTGACTGAGAGTCTACCAGGTGCTGGGTTGGATTAGCTTGGAAATCAATGGAACATCAAGAATGCCTCCCATCAAGAATGTTTTAGCTTGAGCCAGGGAGTAGATAGGTAGAGGCACCATTTTTTTTTTTTTTTTTGAGCTGAGAAAGCCTAGAAGAAGAGAGGGTTTGGCTGGGAAAGAGGTATAAAAAAATTGGTTTTGGAGATGTTGGTTCTGAAACACCAGGAGGTATCACGTGCAGCTGAGTGGGCAGCTAGGTGACCACTGGGGATGGTAAGGAGGAAATGGGAGGGCGGTAGATGGGAAATCTTCGTACCCTCGATGAAACATTGATTCTCACATTGTTGATGTGGTGGTTGTTTGAATGAATGAACGAATGAATGACATTTTGGACATATAAACACTGAAGAGGAAATATTTCTCAGGTGCAGGCAGTAAGAAACAACAGATATCTCACAGAACAGGGTGAATCTAGGAACACTGCAGTTTGGGGAAATCTATTTTTAGACCAAAAATAGTTCCAAATACTAAACCAAACTGTGAATCTCATAAGAATCTCAGAGACCTCATCATGCTTCTCATCTCCCTCTCCTATTTTCTAACCAAATGCCACTCCCTCCCCGCCCCCCTGCAGCTGGCCTTCTCACCAGACTACAAGCTTTGGAAAGCGTTCACTAACGTCTAACACTTCTGGCTCCAATGCTTACTGTAACCACCGGAAGAAAAGCTACTCATCCAAACCTCAAAGGCACTCAGTTTGAATGGCTACAAGTTAGATCCCCTGGGGTAGAAAAAAATAAATAAAAAACAAAACCATCTTGCCCATTTTTTTTATCAGAAAATTGGCCAGTCCCTCTTTGACCACATCACCCCAACACGCCACTCCTGTGGTTGGCTGCTGGTCAAATGGAGATGCCATTTCTGGCTTCCCACCATGTCCTTTCTTCACAAACTCGGTTGCGGGGGGGAGGGGGTCACAAGTCTGGAACTCGCTCTGAGTCTGCCTCTGAGTGGCCTCTTGATTTTCAAGCGTGTCCTTGAAAGGCTGCCTGTGGGTATCTCATGCAGTTTCCTAAATCAACGGAAAGGCCCTCAAGGCCCTGGCCGTGGTTTCCGGTGACCCTCGCCACCCCCTCCCCACGCCCGTGTTATGGAGCCCTGTGGGATATTTATCACCCAGCCTCAGCTGTCCCGTCTCAGGACAACCGGACACATCTTTGCTTGGGAGGAAGTGGCTCCTTCTCAAAATTCAATACGTGGGGCTCACTCGATGAATACTTCCAACAGCCATGCACATGTCTTCTAGACCAAAGCATTCCTGAACATTCCGTTCTCCCAGCCCCAGTGACTGGTTTCATGATGAACATATCGCCCAACTGGGACCCCCCTCGGAAGCGTGAATTTTCTCCCTGCTGGAGCCAGGACATCTGTCTTCTCCTGTCCTCAGACACTGGCACTCCTATTTCCCAGGCTTTTGAACTCGAGCCAGGACTTTCAACACTGCACTGCACCCTGCCCTTCACTCCCTCCCCGATTCTTAGGCCTTTGGACTAAGCGGAATCACACTATCAGTTTTCCTGGGTCGCCAGTTTACAGATGGCGGATTATGGGGCCTCTCAGCCTCCATAACTGTGTTGGCTAAGTCCTATAATAA